GCTTGTTATACTGAGTTCACTGGTTACAGCTTGAAAAGATGTTTTCCACGCCCAGTAATTTTCTGGACAGTCGTCAAATTGAAACAGGCCAGAACTCACCATTTCTTTTTTCAACAGATATGTGGCGAAGTCCTTCGCCTGTGGTGGTGTTGGGCTAAAGCACTCAGCAGGGTCTTGAGAGGGCAGGCCTGACTCACGTGGTGTTCTTACAGGATAGTTTTGACACCTTACTTCATCAGTTCTATCTAATGGCTCCATTTTTACATTTGTAGGAGAACACTGGAAGTTGTGTTGAATTGTCTGTTCCTGCATCATAGGAATTGTGTCAGCATTCGATTCCTCCTTCACCATTGGAGGTGGTGAACTAAGTGAGCCTGCAATATAGCTCCGCATTACATAACTTGAGTTCTCACTTGTTTGTTGTGATTTAGTATTCAGATTAGGAGCATTTTGTTGTATCTGTGAGTGTTTCTGCACATACTCTCTGGTGCGTTCAGCTCTGCTCGAACTGTATGATTCTTCTTCTAGGTCGACACTTGCACCATCTCCATAAACTACAGCTTCGTAAACTTCTGCCTCTGTGGATGCTGCTACAGCTTCTTTCTGCAATTGTAACACATATAAATCAGCCTCAACCTCTGCTTTTCTACGAGCCGTTACAGCCAGTGTTTTCTGTTGATTCTCTTCGATTAGAGCTTTTTCTCTCATCATGATGGCTTCCTTCTCTGCATAAGAAGCTTTTACTTTGCATGCTGCTGCTTTAGCTCTTGCTGTGGTCGCAGCCGCACTAGCTGAAGATCTACTTGAACGATGTGATCTGCTTGACCGTGATTTTGCTTCTAGCGTTTGGTCAGCTTCCTCTGCCTTCTTTTGAGCCTCTGACTCGTCCATCTTGTTATTGTAGTACTGACTGTAAGCTGGATTAAACGGTGTTTGGTTGTCTTCACCCGCCGTGCAGACGATCTTTTACTATTCTGTCCTGGCAATGGTGTTTTGGACCGAGCGTTGACAGATAGCTAACAGAAATAAAGCTCCATCACACGTTCTTCTTTGTGCTTATGTGATGCACACTTTACTTTACTGTAAAACTAAAAGAAATACAAAAAAGTACAAATTACAAAGTGATCTACAAAAAGTTATGGATATTGTTCACATGCAAACATCCACTTACACATTTAAACAACTAAATAAACAACCGATATGCCTTTAATATCTTAAAACATGTACTTGAAGAAAATAAAGGGAAGAACAGCTTCACTTGTATATTAGCCGTCAGATCGCGCTAGCTTTCAGTATCAAACATCAATGTCTAAACATTTTAATAACGACTAGCTTTACTTAAACTAACACAACATTATTACAGTTGTTTTCAATATAAATTTATAACTTACGATCGTATCTACTCCAAGGATTAGACAGCAAACAATGACGTGCATCCAAAACACAGATCACAGAACGAGTCTCTTCTTCTATTGCTTTACGCGCTTCCTGTTGTGCTCAGTTGGGCAGTGTAATACCATTTTTCCCCACTAGGTGTCACACACACAATCTTCTTACTAAGAAAAACTAACACTACACAGAACAGTTACACAGTTGAGAATACTGCCGATGCTAATACTGATTAGCGGATTTATCTCGCGGCAAATTACGGCCGCTACGGCGCTCCAAACGCGCCGATAACAACCGTAGAACGATCGCGGGACATCAAACACATACATACAATAAACATACATATGCAAATGTACTTACATCAAGGCATAAACGCATTAAACAAACATAAATAAGCGTGAAGAGGTGAACATTCCCCAAGACAGTCTTCCTGTGTGTACCACTATAATCCGTCCGTGTGGCAAACAACTTTGGTTTCTAGGACAGACTTTCGTACAATGGCCAATCGAAAATCGGCCAATTCCAGTCACCAGCCGATCAATCGGTGCATCTCTAACAGAAACGCAAACAATGGAGAGTTAACCAAAACAATCAAAGAGCCAATGACAAAATTCGACAGGAAGTACAACACTATGTAGCTTCAAACACCCCCCAACATCTCCAGACATCCCCCCAAGATCTCCAGTGCAACAGGGTCAGAACAGTGAAAATGAAAATCGTGAAACTCCTTGCAGAAGAGGTCGTAAGAAAGTTAAAGGACAAGTTCGGTATTTTACACAAGCCCCGTTTCAAGATAATTTCTGATGAAATAGAACAAGATTACAATTTGGACACATGCTGCTGTCCCGAGAATTTTCGGTTTCTGTGGTTGCACCCCCCCACCTCCACAATGGTTGCATAGGTGCACTGGAACAATCCTTCCTAAAACGCATTAAACTTTAGTTTACAAAGACGTTAAACTCACCGAGTGGTCTGGGGTGTTCACTGATATGCTGACACAAAAATCGCTGCAAAAGATGCTTTTCAACTCCATTGACTTGACTTGGACAAAAACAATGATAAAACCTGTTGGAAAGCATCTTTTGCAGCGATTTTTGTGTGAGCATATTACATAGCACATTTCACCTAATGGTAATAGTCATAGTTATGAAATGTTTATGAAGGATACTGTGACAATTGATATATTGTATGGTTTCTTCATGATTGAAATAAACATGTTCAAGTTGATGGTTGTGTCATATTTATATATATCTCCTTACATCTGTCCATTTCTTTCAACAACACTCACCAGAAGTCATTATTTAAGCCTTTAAATTTGATTTATGTATCAGTACACTTTTCATTTGTCATTACCAAAACACTATGTCATTACCAGAACAGTATGTCATTACCACCACGTTGCTTAATTTACAGCAAACATACCTTTAAATCTGTTTTATGTTCAATCTTGAGGTGCTACATGAAAAGCCTAATGAAATACTCATCCACCTATTCAAAGAAAAAACATCTAAAATTAATTTTACAGAAATTAAACAAAAGTGTGCTTTGATGAATACAGGAAAACACATTTTGATGGTAAGAACAAGAAAATATATGGAATTCGCAGAATGGAAACATTTTGTTTTTTATATGTATTGTTGAAGGTTAACAATGTTTGCAAGATGAATGAGTTTAAATGATCTCCTTGATACATTCTTTGCATTATGAGACTTTTTGATGTTGTGATGGGAATGACGTTTTTCAGTGCCAGTTGGCAAATAGATATAAAATACTCAAATTATATTTAAGCTCAGTCGTGGCCATTATTATATCTTTACATCAAAGCATGTAAACATTGTCTTGACATAATTCCAACAAAATTCAACCAGATTTCATTCATCAAAATGTAAGATGGCAAAATAGCCCCCAATTGAAGAATCACCCAATTACACTGCAAGAGGCACACCTTAAATGCAATCTTACAACTGGTTACTTTTTTTAAGGAAAATTATATTTTCTGGATCATAATGCCATGTTTTATATAATTATTATTAATATCTCAACATGAATTTTAACTGTAAAACACTACATTAATTGTTAAGATTGACGGCCGTCGGTTTTTGTAATGACGTGTACATGCGCTTGTTGTGATGTCTTCATCCTCCACTAGATGGCACATAATGAACAGACATTTTAAAAACTGGGTACTTGCTAAGATCATAATTGTTTTCATATGCCCCTTAAAATCTCATCTGTGAACATCTCAAGTGGACAGCTTCAGGCCTATTGATTAATATCAGCACTCAGCTAAATTAAAGCATCAGTTAAAAAACAGATTCGTACTAAATAATTTAAAGAAGAGGTTAAGAGACTGTGTGTGTGTGTGTGTGTGTGTATGTGTGTGTGTTTTGAAGGATCCGGCTTCCTGTCAGTGGATATCCCTCCAGGAAATCGAAAGATGGTTCCACCCCTATGTGGAGCCCCATGCCACTCATTTACAGAGAGAGAGAGAGAGAGAGAGAGAGAGAGAGAGAGAGAGAGAGAGAGAGAGAGAGAGAGAGAGAGATTTATTTGTTGTGCAGATATACTGTTTACTTTTATAGGCCTGTGCCTTTTTATAAATTTTATATGCTACTATTCCTTATTTGCACTGTTTAAACATCATGCTGCAGTGCATGTCTTTTGTTATGCCAATAAAGCATAGCCTACTTGGCAACTGATATTTATTTATTTAGTTTGTTTAGCGGTCTGTCCGCATGTCTGTTTCTAACGTCTCCATGCTGTATAAGCAAATATGCTTATGTTAATGCAAAACAAACATATATATATATATATATATATATATATATATGTATATATATACACAAAAAAGTGTATATTTGTGGGGAAATAACCTTACATTGCTTTTTGAAAGTGGGCTGACAGTACAACTTGTAACCCATTTACTGTTCTGCAGACATAATCATATCCCCAGGCCAGTAGCTACATATTAAAATTAATTTAGCTTGAGATGCTACGATGTAAAAAAAAAAGATGTAAAACTTTAACACGTTTTTCAGTATGTTTAAAGTACAAAAAACATTTGGAAATCACTATTTGAAAAGGATAAAGCCACCCATTTTATAAAATGACCTATATTTTCTCTTTAAGAATTTATATTTTTCTCCCAGATTTAGTTTTGAGCACATTTTCTAGAAATTTGATCCCCAAACGTCCGAATCAGACACACACACACACACACACACACACACACACACACACACACACACACACACACACACACGTTGTGTTTTCATGTTTTATGGGGACTTGATTTTTATCCCCTTCCACTAACCCTACCCCTAAACCTTCCAATCACAGAAAACGTTCTGCTTTTTTGCATTTTCAAAAAAACATTACTTAGTATGATTTATAAGCTGTTTTTTTTCTCATGGGGACCAATACAATGTCTCCACAAGGACAAGGATTTCGGATATTGCCATTTTGTCCCCATAGTGTAGGGTTTACCAGGTCCCACACACACACATACACACACAAAATGTGTGTGGAGGAAGGAACACGGGCTCCTCCCGGCGGGTCCCGGGCAGGAAGAGAATGACGTCAGTGTGCTCAGCTCTCAGCAGATTCAGGTTACAGTATTCTGCGTGTGCGCGCATCCGCGTCCGCGCGTGTGTGCTCGTGTTCTTGAATGTCGGATAGTGGCTGGAGGAGGAAAAGCGTGTTTACACAGACGGGCCGAGCGCCTGGGGAATAGCGCACGGCGAGAGGAAGTGAGCCGGCTCGCTGTCTGCCTGCACCAACTTCCTGCTCAGAGAGAGAGAGAGAGAAAAAGAGAGAGAGAAAACAGTCGGGATCCCATTACAGTCCGACTGAGAGCTGCCGAGACGGCCGACAGCATGGAAAAACAGCGCATTATACGGAATTCTTTTTAATAAAGTGAAAAAGGACCACAAAAAGCCCGACCATTACGCACAGGTATGTGGATAATCCATCCAAACTATCTGAATGTTTTATAAATGTATAATTACTTCACAATAACACTAAAAGGAAGAAACCTTCCAAAGTACAGGACTGAAACTTGATATCCTCAAAAAAGAATGAACCTATATCCAAAAGAAGGAGCTGTTTGAAATGTTCAGAAGTGATGTTTAAGACTTAAATGTATACAAGTGAGAGAAATGTATGTGGGAAAAACAACAACGGATCTCTTCTATCACACAAGACACTTCAAGTGTCCACCGTTCCCGTTACTTACGCGCAGTTTACGCACGGCTGATGAAGGTTTGAATACCTGTTGAGCTCACGAGTTCATGATGTATATTTCTAACATTTTGTTGGTTGTACATTTGAAAGCAGGGCTGTTAGAAAGGGCTGAATTTTGGCTCCTGGCGCTTTAAACGCACTAGTAGAGTTTCTGGTTTGTCTGGAAACAGCAGCAGACTAATTGCCATGCGCTTCCGGATTGAAACTGGCAGCAGACAGCATCTTGAAAATGAGTCATTGGGGCAAACAAAGAAACTTCAGTTCAGCCCTATGCAGCTGATGTTACCCCTGCATCTGGATATGCTGAGGGTGATCGATGTTTGTGATCGTCTTTGGGCACGTACTGTAAGTCATAGACTTCATTGCAATAGATAGCAGATGATGCTTTCCTCGGAACTAACCCAAGGTGTCATCAAGTTCACCGCAGGTTATGAACTAACATGTTCAACTATGACAACCAGAGAGTGTCCAAATACTGATACTCGAACTGTTGTTTTATCATTTAAAATAAGATATTTTGCTTTAATAGTGTGCTTGTGTCATCTTTCTTTAAAACTAATGCCACTTTCGAGGCCATTTCCTTATGTTTTGGAGTTTTGGACACAGTCACTGTCACACTGTGTGTAAAGTTCCTCCTATCTACTTCCTGTATGGTTAGATTGGTAGATTTGCAGTTATGCCGGTTTTGGTGTCTCCAGCTTACATTTAAAAACGAGGTATGTGATAAAACAATCTATGGTAATTAGTAGGACTATCTCAGTATTTCAGTATAATTAAACTTACTATTTCTGTACTTTCCCTGAAATGGTTTAAAAGAGGAACCATCATTTCCATCAAACTGCCAATTAGACGCAAGAAGTAAAATGCAGCAAACACTTTAGGAATGTTTTCTGAACCTTTTCTGATACTTTGCTGTTAAATACACTGCCATTTTTAGTGTCCACACTCTTTCTGGAGCCACTATTTGGACACAGACACACACAGCCAGACATTCTCAGATCTGTCTGCGTAATTTCAAGAGCTGGAGTTCTCTCTGGAGAAATGTGGTCGTGGAGAGAAGTCCTTCACGGCTCTCTTTTCTCCCTCTCTTCAGCAAAAGCTCCCTGAATTTTCCACTGCAGTCTGTGTGCGCAGGAAGAGCGCGCATTTAGTCATGGCGAAGTAATGTCTGCGCACACCAACTAATCTCATTACGAGTTTCCGCTGGCGCTACAGTGGAGGGGTTTGTGAGCGCGACGGCAAGTTTGGTGTTTAAAAGCTGTCTAGGGGCCATTCAAAACACTGTGCTTGCAAACGGTCTGTTGCACGAGTCTTGAAAGCTGTGAGCGTGTCACTTTGTGCTGGAGAGAGTCCACCTTCTCATCGTCTTCTCACCTCCTCTTTCTCCTCCCATACACACACACACACACACCGGCAATGTGTGTAAGTTTAAAAAACAGCTTTATCAAGCAGTAAATGCTGCCTGATAAGCCACTGATTGACTAGGCTGCTGCCTTCTGCTTTGGACACACTGTGTTATATCTACAGCCTCCTAATTCCTGTATGGTTAGATGGGTTGGTTAGATTTAAAGGTGTTTTCCATTGACTCTTCGAGCTTCAGTGCTGTAAAAAGTAAACGGTCTGTTCTGTTGTGTTGAAAAAAAACTATTGCTTGATGCAGCTCTCATTTTCAGCCATCTAGAAAAAAAAAAAGTCCTGCTGTAGGCTACACTGAAAATATGACTTGTTTTGCACACAATTTATTAGAAGTACATTTTGAAAAAATTACTTTGCGACATAATATTAAATAAAGTGAGTGTGTAAATCTAAAGTTAGCAGGAGTTGCGATAGTCCTTTCTTCCCTATAGAATGTATATTCAAGTGAAACAGCTTCTCGAAACAAGAAAAAATGGATGATTGTGGTTTGCTATTGGTCGATCTCATGTGAGTGACAGGTTGTCCCGCCCTCCTATATCAAAGAAAAGAAGAGATAGGGAAGGGATTTTAATTAAAGATTACGTGGGCACATGAATTTTTAGAAAATAATTATTTGATAACAAATAGGCTACTACAATATTCCATAAAAAATAACAATTGTTAATTTTGATTTCATGGTGACTTTAAAATATTTCCTCAACTTGCAATTCGGATGTAGTTGCATTTAAAATGATAAAAATAAGTAACATTTAAATTAACAATGAATATTACACTGAAGAGGCTCCGGAAACGAACTACAACTACCTCGAATTTTTGGTACAGAAAACACAATTATCCTAACAATCAATGGATAATCTTTGAGCAGCAGAAAATGAACTCGAGTTGCCGGCTGCATAAACTGCTTAGACTAGTCTTAAAAGTTAGTCATCTCATTTTTTTCTCATCTAACTTTTTAAAATCATTTATATAAGATTGGTCTAATAATTTGAATCCGAAAAGTGAGACAGATTACAGTAACTCTTCTCTAACTGCTTTTTTCCAGTGTATTTCCTGAGGTCCTATGGCATGAGGTCAAAATGCGAGAGCTTGTCCGTGGCATCTAAGCATTTAATGTAGTAAAACAGTGTGTTTTCTTACTGATGTGTAGGCCCAGATGGTATCTGTGGACTTTTTCACATTTTCTGCACCATTTGATGCGGGGGGGGAATGGTCAAACAGAACTGAGGCCACATTTGTACTGCTGGTCTTGATGCCCAATTCCAATTTGTTTGACTATATGCAATATAAAAGTGACCCATATCCGATATCTGCATTTACACTATACACTTGGTGAAACAACCCAAGGTATACGCACTGAGCCAGAAAGGCTTACGTCGAAAAGGAAGTAAAAACAATGCGATCGATCACCAATTTACACAGATCCACGTAAACAACTAAAAACTCTGTATTATTCATGCCAGGCCAGAAGTTGGTGATGTCACTTTGCAAAGAAACACTATGCTCCTATAGACTGAACACTTAATACGTATGCGCATGACGTCACCATTTTCACAAATTCAAGTTTTTGTAGTTTACATGGAGACTATAACAGTATAAAAAACTAAAAACTCTAAAAAAAAAAACTTGTGCTTTGAAACCCGTTTTCAAGAGTTAGCATTTTCAGGCCCCCAAAACAGCATTGTCGTGTAAATGAACGGAATTGTCAAAATGTTTCATAGACAAACATGATGGCGATGTGTCGAAGTTTGTGAAAGAATCCAATATGTATGATTCATTTATTTCATGAAATGTGTAAAAAGCCTTAAACCTAATGACCATGAAGCTGATGCATGCCAGACAGTGGTATAACAACAAAGCCAAGGCAGTGCAGACACACTATGTTTGAGTGTGTGTTTTTTTGTTTAGCGCACACTGTCTTTTATTTATTTGTGTGTCATGAGGTCTCTCGCCCTTTCTACATGCCCAGATGCATTTTTTCATCAAACGGTCTTTAAAAATTCCTGGCTAAGGATTCAAACTTAGCTTCTGTATGGTTTATTTCATTGCTCGCATTGAAAGACAATAAAGAGACCAAAACTCCAGATTTGCACATGCAAATCACATTTGTACACAGCAACTGTGCTTAAAAGGGAGACATTTTTTCCCCTCTTGCAATAATCTAACAATGACTTTTACAGCCACGTTCCACACAGGCACTTCTCCAAACGGCCTAGAGCTTTTGAAATCAGCTTCTTGTGTTTATTCCCTTTGATTAGGGCAGTAAATCTAGGAATCCATGAGTCCGTTTTTCAGGATCTCACATGCAATATGTCAGTCTATAGACGTCCATATGGGCGAGAGCTTTGTGCCAGCACGAAAAGAGAAGAGGAAACCTCCCATTTGTGCCTTGTGTCCGTGTGGTCCCCGCGTTCCTGTGTTTGCTCCCCGCAGCAGGAATTCCTACCTTTCAGCTCGGGATCGGCATTCCCAGGAAGACGCCCTTCAAAGGAGAATTGGAGGAAGTCCTGATATAGACAGTTTTACGGTCGTTTAACGCAGATGCTCCGCTCAGAGGATGCTGGAGCAGGAAATGGTTTCATTTCGCTTCTTTGGGAGTTTGGAAAAAAATTAATGGGCGACAGTATGTGGCGTACGATGAGCTTTTATGTTGTGGCCAAGTGTGGAGTACGAGATCTAACTGTAAATTTCCGTATGATGTATAATGAGATCTGTGTCACATATGTAGAGGAGTAAGGAATGTGTATATATGTGTGTGTGTGTGTGTGTACAGTGTGTACAAGTGCACAGTACTTCCTGATTAATATCTGTATACCGAATTGGCAGCGTTTTTCGAGCACTTCCTCCTTTGTCACCACAGGTTTGGCCAAATCATGCTGTTTGTGTGTATTTACACACACTCTAGCTGATATTCCAATCAAAAGCATCTGAAAAGACTAAAATGAAAGTCTTGTAAAGCAAACATGAAATCAAAATGGAATTTACTTTCTTAGGTTCAGTGTTAAAAATGACAGTGTAAACGCTAAGCAAACCAGGACTAAATGTATAATTTTCTTTTTTTGGTCCAGACAAAGCAAGAGTAAGTGTTTTAGGTTTGATTTTAGCCTCTCCTGTTTGCTCCTTAAGGCTCATTATTTGATCAATCCTTGATGACTTCCAGAGCCATCAGTTTGATGAGCGGGTGAAAGTTTATGCTTGTTCGTCTTTGTCAAAATTATGACAAAGACTTTCCCAAAATAAGGCATTCTGCAACCAGGGAGTTCCTCTTGGCCAATAAAACATTCTCCGTGTCAGAGCTT